TGGGCAGGACGGGAATGTGCTCCTCAATCCGACCGGCACGCACGATGGCATCGTCCAGACGGTCCGGGAAGTTGGTCACAGCAAGTACCAAGATGCCCGGCTGGCCGAATATATTCAGAAGCACGGACAACACATCGCCTTTGTAGGATTCCTTGCCCGCCTGCAACACAGCATGACTGCAAATGACAGCCGTTCCCAACTCTGGCTTGGGATTTGCTTGGGAATAAAAATCCGAGAAGACAAAGATCATGTGAAACGAACAAGCTGGCCAGAACAGAGCTTCGTTCATGCATTGTGGGCTCTAAGCCTCATTCACTCCTGGAGAACACACCATGATTTCACTGCGAGAGCAAAAACCGCTCGCCTGCGATGTCCGTTTCATGGCATAAGAATCGAACTCGTCAAAGAAGAAGAGATGAAGCACGTGGGGTCGCTTCTCTGCCGAATTGGCCAGCTTGCTGAGCTTGCCCTCACACTCGCCAACGTAGCGGCTGCCCATGCTGGCAGCCACCCCCCAGAAAAGCTCAAAGCACCCTGCCCCTCTCAACAGTTCTACTTGGCGCGTTTTGCCAGTTCCAGGTGGTCCATGAAGCATTGCTCCTGCCAAAGCAGCGTGCACTGACAACTACACACGATCACGCACAAACACACACACACACACACACACACACACACACACACACACACACACACACCCACACCCACCCACCCCCACCCCCCCCCACACCACCCCACACACACACACCCCACGCACACACACACACACACCCACCCCACCCACCCCCCCACCCACCCACCCCGCAACGTCCCTCAGCAACCGCACGCACCGCACGCACGCACGCACGCACGCCCGCACGCATGACCCAACACACACACACACACACAGGACACACACACACCCACACACACACGCGGCGCACACACACACACACACACCACACAACAACACACACAACACACACACACACACACACACACCACACACACACAACACACCCACCACAAACACACACACACAAAACACACACACACACACGCACACACACACACACACACCACCCACACACACACACACACAGACAGACACAGACTCAGACCCAGACGCAGACACACGGACACACAGACACACAAACACACAGAGACACAGGGATGCAGAGATACAGAGATACAGAGATACAGAGATACAGAGATACAGAGATACAGAGACTGAGTTCATGCTACCTCCTGAGGTCAAACGTGTTCAGCATCTGTTCATTTAATCGTACTGACTGTCAGCACAGTCATAATGACAGGCAACAGACTGTGACTGGTGCAGACGCACTTGTTAAGAGGAATTCTGTCAGACTGTGGCCCCGATCAAGGGGCGAATGGGCAACCCTGCTGCAGACAGCGCAGTCAACGAAAACTGTCTGGAGCACACTTGTGCATATCTCCACGCCAAGTCTCAAATCGCTTCACCTGAGATTTCACCTTCTATCCTGTCAATTAGAACCTTGCACTCACTCGCAATCACTCGCAATCAGTCAGACCTAGTCATGCAGGTACGTTTACACCCCTTTCTGGGGGTGTCTTCGTTGGCCAGCGACCCCCAGGAAGAGCGCTGGCCCCCTGCTTCACATCTGGCTTTCAAAAACAGACCTTGCACAACAGCGACTGACTCCCTTGGTGACAGGGTTGGCACACACACACACACACACCGCTCGCTCTCTCTGACTCAATCACACTCACCTGCAAATAAGGGCGAAGAGAGAAAACTGTGAGCCGCCATGGCTGGACGATGCACCACTGCGCGCCTCGGATGTGTTCTCCACTCTCGGTGTACGGCACCAGCACCCTGTCGAGAAGCCTTCCTGGCAGCTTGACACGGAAACAGGTATAGCATCAGCTGATACATCGCCACAAGAAGGATGGAAAACGCAAGGCAGACAACAGCCAAGAGGCCGGTGACATCCGGGTGGCCCAGCATCTCGAGTCGTGGCCTCAAGCTGTCCAGCTGCATCTCGCTGAGAAGCGGGGTTGGAGCCTCCTGGCTCTGAATCCAGTTCCACGCATGCAATTCCTCCTGGACGCCGCAGCTGACACGCGAGTCAACTTCTTTGTCTCCGAATATTTCGTTGCCCATCTTTCTTGGATAAATCTGCTGAGCACATGGCACACAACAACAGAAGGCCCTGTCTGGCACCAACGATGATGCTGGAAATAGTTGGCACCAGGAACAATCATCCTTGCCATCGGTCACCAGCACAAATGCTTCTTTCTTGTGCAATAGTCCAAAGAAGTCGCGTAGCTTTGTGGGAAGCATGCCCTTCAAGATCTCAGCTTCGGCGCTGCCTGGTCCAACCTCTACAAAGTCTAAGTACACACAACCGGCTTTGAAGGCCCTATCAAACTTCATTCTCAGAAAGTAGTCGGGTGGCTGACTTCCACTGGGTCGAACTGCAATTATTGCAAGACTTGTGTCACCTCTGCGGCGGACCTTCTGTAGCAGTGCCAACATTCCTAGCGTTCCGCCACCGTAATCCTGGGCCTGCAGTTGATAGGGCTGTGTATCGGAGAAGATCTCGAACCGCCGGGGGTCAAGCTTTCCAACATAAGTGCCCTGGGTCGCCTTGCGCAACTCTTCGACACAGCTGTTCCTTTCCACTGCTTCGAAGCGAATCCGGCCATACTTGTCAACAACCGACACATGCGTTGCTAGCACTTCCTGGCATTCCAGGTCATGCTTGGCGCGCAGCTTGAAAGCCGGTTCTGTGTAGAGCCGAAAGTGCTCAAGGACCGTGCCTTCACGTTCACGGCACTGGCGGGCGCCGTTTAGGGCACCAGCTACAAGTTCTTGCATTTCGTCACGCCTGGCCCCGATGTGATCCAGGCCACTCTGGTACACCTCAACTTCAACGCTGATACCTTGCCTGGGAGTTGGATTGCACGGGGCGACCAGCAGGTACTTCCTGAACTGCTTGTCTCCGGACATCGCCAACTTCATGACAGCCTTGGGGAGGTCCGTTCCAACTGTAGGTGGTGCCCATTCGCCCTTGTTACTATCCCGTAAGTCTGGCCAGTACACGAGACAGCCATCGGCCTTGATCCATTCCAAGAACTGGTCCTGGCAAGCATGGTTCATGCTCCGTTCAAGGTCCTCTGTAGAGGAGATGAAGTAGCCTCCCGAAGGAGGTGGCTTCGCAGGGGACGGATAGGCCCGAAGCTTGCCAAAATCTGCAGGGCCTGGCGTTGCCCGGAAAAGGCAAATTGCGTCGACATGCACTGGGGAAGCCATGGGCGGATCACCTGCAATCCTGTTTGGAAAACTACTGTGGTGTCTTGGGCACACGGGCATGAAAGGAAAACGCTCCTGCGCATGATTGTTTGCACCCGTCCCTCAGCCCCAACCCTGTCGGGTTTGCTCCAATTTCTCCGCTAGAGTGGTCACCAGCCTCTCGGATAAAGCCACTCACTTCCGCCAGCCTGTGCAGAAGGGGAAAGATGCGAGATTGTTTTCTGATATTTGTAAGTTGGGAGCGGTAGAGATAGTTTCAATTGTGTACATACTAGAACACAAACCGGCAAGGACTCCCGACTAGAGGGTTTGTAGACTCATGATGGGCACTTGGACAAGGTGCATGGATCGTGAATCACCATGGGACTCTACCAGTAGGCCGAAGGCCTCAAAAGGGGCAGCTCAGGCTTTGGAGCTTGAGGGTAAGCGACATCATCTGGAAACTCCCACGTGATCCCCCGTTTTCGGGCGCCCCTCCCTTGTGCATAACGACGATTTCGTTCGTCCCGGAATATGAATGAACACTATACCACCATGTACTTTGCAACGCTTTCGTAGGCTCGACACGCAAAACCACACCACCTGCAACTGCAAAGGCACGGAACCAGACCAGGCCTGTTCCTGCAGTTCATGCAACGTCGGCTCATCTTGCGCGGCACCTTATGGCGAAGACAGAAGCCAATATGGGTACTCCAAGGTTCAGGTACAAAACCGCAGGGCTATAGGGTTGAGAGCAAGTTTGAGGGCTTTTGGATTGGGTTGACCCGAATGTGAGGTGCGGGCTTGCAAGGTTAGGGCTTAGCTTCGGACTTGTACGGTATAGGACGAATTTGAGGTCTGTGAGTCTTCAGGGTCTCCGGCATGGAATCAATCAGCTGTCTGTATAGACTTGTTGATGTTGAATAGCGTTTCACACGCCATACCCGGTATACACATCCTCTGATATCCATTGTAAGGCCCTTGCAAGGTGGGCGCGACAAGGCCAAACTTGCGCCCAAAGGGAGGGACGAAAGCTCTGGAAGGCGGGGGGCCTAAAGGATGCCCAGACCTGCCGCAGCAACGCCGACCGACGCAAAACGACCTCAAAGCGTGCGGAAAGCCTTCGTACTTCTCGAGGTCTCCGGGCCGCCGAAGGCTCGATCAGCTTTATCCCTCTGTTCCCCGAAACTACATCGCAAACAATACCTCTTTCAACACTGCAACCCTCTCAGAAAGGCCCTGCTTGCTAGACCTCCTTAGTGACACATCGCTTGCAAGAAGAGCCTTTATGAGCTCCACGCCATGGCGAATGGAATATAATTTGCTTTCTGAAATGCAAGGGGCCCAGGCCCAGTTGTGGCTCATGACGCTGGTCGATGCTGCATGTGAGGAGGGCCCCAACGCTCAAGGAGGGGCAAGTAGATGATTGACAAACTAGCGCCAACCCGATTTGGGGAATGAGCCATGAGACCTCTACATGGTACCGGTTCGGCGGGCTCCAAAACCCTATCTCTGAGGGCACTGCTAGCAGCAGACGATGGAAAGAGCTGGTCTCAGTCAGCGGCTCATCTCCCGCACGCCAGAATTAGCAGGAGACTTGCCTGCACACCTCATTCTGTAGAATGCCCTGCAAGAGATTCGATCCATGTTCTGTAAGCAGCACCAGATGCATAAAACCCTTCTTCCTCGGAAATACGAGCTTGCTGCAAGTATGCTGCCAGCAGTTCTGCCGGTGCAGGGCTGATGCTCCCCACGGCTTGAGATGCCTTCCTCCAGCTGTTAGCACAGTAGTGCGACAGCTCCTCCCATCCTGCATCCGGCCCGCGAGTGAGCAAAAGATGCAGCGCACGTTGCTGTGGAGTGACCTGGCCGCGTCGCGAAACCGCCCGAGTCAAATTGTTGAGATGCAGAGCGGCACCGGCACAAAGAGCACAGCAGGCCCAAAATTCAGAAATCACAAGCGGATGGCAGTTGTAGTGGGCTAGAAGCTCGCACAAGCCCTGGAGAAGGTTCAGCTTCTCATCGAGTTCCAGAGGCTGCCAAATAAGATGACCACTTACAAGAAAGCGCGCAAGTTTCCAGAAATCGCGCACCGTGGGCGACATCGTGCTCTCTTCTAGCTGCTTCCAGTATCGACCGAGTTCTGTCAGGTTGCGGCATGATGTGCAGGCTTTTATCTGAGCCCAAGCCTCCCAAGCCCTCATCTCAGTCGAGGCATCAGAGAACAACAAGAACAACAATCTGGGCAGCAAAGAGCGGACTGTTGCCTCGTATACCGGATCGTCCACTGCTCCCATTTGCAAATGGCGCACGCGCGCAAGTCCTATGGAAACCCCAATGTCCACGGCATAAGGCTGGAGAGTTATTGCTAGCGGTCTGGCAGGGGGTAGCACAGCTTGAACAAGGTAGGCCTCTGAACGCAAGATCTTGTTCGTTGCTGCCCGTTCCCGACCCCTCCTTTGTTTCGAAGGCATCTGCTTTTGCGAGCAATTGTGACACCACTTACACGGGTCACGACAACAAGTACCTGAAGAGAAAAATCCGCAAGGGATTAGTGGCTTGCCCTGACGCCAACAGCCGCACTCCCAGGATCCCGGGTTGACTTCAAAGGGCCTGAACCGGTTGCTGCTCACCATCAGGAATAATAATGCACTGTCAGCGCAGCTTTGAGCTCTGCTAGCTCTGCAATCCCAGCCGTGAGTATTATTGAAGAAAGGTTGCGAAACGCAAACTGCATCTTGCTGCGTTTGCAAGCAGCTCCGCCAGTGTTCGAAGATTACTAGGCCAAGCTGCAAACTGCACAAGGGCTCTCTCGTTTGTAACAGAGCTTTCGCAGCTTCTGTTGCGAAGATATGCCTGTTCTGATCGTCGACTGAGCAGTTATTCAGGGCACTTTGAGAGTCGCCATACCATTCACGCCAACTGACTGGCGGGCGTATATTGGTCCAAAACGACGGGCCCAACAGAACGATCTTGCCTCGCACGTCTTTGATTTGCATGCCGGCTTCTGCCCATGCATATCTACGGTGTTCGCACACAACCTTTCCGCATTCATCCCCATCCTTGTCTGGGCATGGCCGACGACAATACCGTTGCGGTACGAGGCCATCCATCCTACCCGGCTCCACATCAAGCAGAAGCAGAACACACTCAGCTGGATGGTCAGCAAGGAATGTGAGGAGGCTCTCCCACAAAAACAGCTCTTGCAGCTTGCACTTGACCGGCCCCAGCTTGAAAGCTCGAATCCCCGAGTTCAGCAGGTCAATGGGATTAGGAAATTCCAGGAACAGCGGAAGGCCCAACTCTGCAAGTCGCACGTGGCCTTCCACTTGTTCCATCCAGCCAGACATCTGCCTCCTTCTTAGAATTCGAAACACGACCTGTTCAGAGCCACGTGCACAGATCACCTGGAACAGCAAGCATTCTTTCTTCCTTAGTTGGTATCAAGATGCAAAAAGCAATCAACCAAAGTGTCTGAGAATTATCCTGAAAACAACTACCCAACAACCTTCCGATCAGCAACAGAGCGCGCAGCGAAACAGCTGATAACCTCCTGCTCGCCGAGTTGGAAGTCCTCAGAGCCGATGCAAAGTTGCAACCCACTTTGTAGCTCAGCGTGGATCATAAAGACAGCATGATCAGGAACCATCACCTTTCGCACAACCATTGATTGTCCCGCCAACAAGGCCCCTATCCCAGCAGTCCCCTGATCTCCGTCTGCATGCCAGATGACAGCCACTCCTTGCATATTGATCTCGCTGTCATTCATTATCTTGAACTCCACCCGAGTATCGTTCCTGACAAGCACGTCCATTTGCAAGAGAGGTCTTTCCTCCGTGGCAATAACAACTCCGGAATCTGTAGCTGATAGCCTCTGCTCCTCTGCAAAGTGGTTTCCTTTGGCATCACAGAGGCAAGCATTGCTGTAGCCGAAATGTTGTCGGACAGCCTCAAAAAGTGGGGCAAGAGCCACCGCATTATCTTCGCTTACATGCAGCACCTTGCGAAAAGTGTCTCCATCGGGGTTGCAGCACTTGCACTCCATGTCCATCGGCTCACCCAGCACCACTTGTATACCAGTCCAGTATCTCGTGTCTTCAATGAGCAGACGCTGCTTTTCTTCCAAGTTGGTTTCCTTAAAAGGCAGCGACACTTTCCTGCAGCGGAAACGCTGCCGAACAGCTTCAAAAAGTGAGGCAAGTGTCACTTTGTCGTCCTCATCTACGGGCAGCGTCGTGCAGAATATTGCTGCGCTAGGCCGGGACAACTCAAACTCTGCTTCGTTCTGGGCAAGCAACTGCAACTCCTTTTTCATGACCCGTCTGTACTCTTCAGTGTCCTTCATTTTTCGTTTACCTTCTTGCCAAACATACATGTCGCTCAGTGTCGTGTAAATCCTGATGCGCACATCCAGCGAGCTCATCCATGCGCCTGTGAGCTCCACGCTGCCACCGGCCCAAAGCTTGTCGACGGCGGATGTATCTTTGATCTCGCCACGGTTGCTTCTTCTTTCCACATGCACTTTTGCGCATGGCACAACGATTTTGTAGCTCTTGCAATCAGTGGACCAACTCTCTCTCAAATGTCTCTCTTCCGGCACCTGAACTCTGACTGACTCCTCCTTCTTGCATTGGTACTCAAAACACAGCTTCTGATACCAAATTCCGTCACAAGCCATCCGCTGCGCACGCTCGAAAATAACAATGCGTTCTCCCTCATTCTCTCTCTGGAGGCAGTCTTCGAAGTGTGCTTCAGCATCCTCTAGCCGCAGCACAAGCTGGTTTGCTTCAATCCTCCTCTCTCCAAGCGGCTTGCTGACATTCTTCCTCAGAGCGCTTGCTCGGTCCAGCAAGGACTGCATACGAGTATAAGAAAAAACTCTGGAGCTTGGGCGCTCTTCACAGAGAGGGTGGAATCCAGTCGTCCTGTCTTCAGTGTCAAAGTACTCGTTAAACCGCGCGCGCATGGTCTTGGCCGCAGACTCCTGTTCGGGAAAGGCTCGATCCCAGGCTTCCCTCACGATTTCCCGAGCGGAGGCCCCAAGCTGCTCCGCGGCGAAGGCGCAGGCATAGCTGACGTACGCTAGACGCACCTGCGGGTCTTCCGGGAAAGGCAGGGACCACACATGCCAAAACCTAGGCTTCCAGAACAGTCTCAAAATTGTCCTGCAATACTGATCCTTCATGTGGCCCTCAAGTCTTCCACAACGAAGCCTGATCTGCTCGAAAGCTTCTCGAAAGCTCGCTGTCGCGAAAACCTCCTCATCTGTCATGAGCTCCCACCCCACTCTCACTCTCACCGCAGGGCAGATATCAGACACCTCACTCAAGCATCCATATGCTTCTCTGCCGTGCTCGGGCAGACGCAAATGCGCTTTGTGCCCATCAACCTCTAGAACTGCAAGAGTTGCGGAGGCTTTTGCAGAAACGTACGCCCAATTCAAACACTTCTCCAGCACAATAAGCTGAATGGGATGTGAGTTTATCCTCACAACCACCTCGTGTTCGGAGCCGGTCTCCGAAAACGCAGTATAGTTTTCATTATCCAACTGAACCTGGATGGGCTGCTGCCTGTCGCGTGCAGCCAGAAGCGCTTCCATTGTCTGTCTCGGTAGGAGATAGTCAAGGAACGTCATTGCTGCGGAGCCTGTAAGGTTGACGTCGAAATGTTCAATCCACTAATTTCCAACACGCAGCATGCAAACAACAGACTACCCAGGGTACTGTCGAGGCTGTGCCAGTAGGGAGCCGTAAACCTGTTGTCTAGCAAAGGACTGCCCTGGTCGCCCACCAACTGCGAGCCAACCGAAGGCCTGCATCTATCCTCATATGATCGGACTGCTCTCAGGGGGGTTCCGCAACGAATCATTACGTGAAGATCCAAAACATCAAGCAGGCAGGTCAAGCAGGGCTGGGCCCCTGTGGACCCTGGTCCCTGGTCCCTGACTTCCCTGACCCCCCACCCCCGACCTTTCTGGCTCCCTGAACATCCTAACCCTCCAAGCCCAAAGCCACGCGTCTGCCGAATCCTATGGATATGTGGGCGCCCGGGATCTGGAAGCCGATTTGGCCGGTCCCGCCCCCCGCCCCCAACCCCCCCCCCCCCCCCCCCCACCCCCCCCAACCCCCACCCTCCCCCCACACCGACCCCCCAAACTTCGCCGATGCGGGGCCATGGCCCCTTGTCAGGGTTGAGGGTTTCGGGTTTCCATGCGAGGATGCCTATCTGGGCGCCTGCAGATGTCAAAGGGATCGGTGACTGTGGGTGAGTCACCACAAACAGCGAAGCGAATGAGGAGCGATAAGAAAACCCCAAAAAGACGGGCTTACTCAGTACCATTGGTTCCGGCAATTTTCTCCATGCCTCTCCTGAGATTGCAACAGGATCCAGGCTTTTCTGGAAGCGGGCCGTCCCACCACTGCAGCATCAAGCGGATTCAGGATTGTTGGCAGCAGCTTCAAGTTTCCTAGGAGCTGCGGGTGTCTACTGCTCCTGAGTGACCATACTGGTCAACACAGAGGCCACAGCACAAAACAACTGCAAATTCTCTACTGTATTTCTCACCGCTGCAACGTCAAATTATCCGCTGCTCCTGCGCTGCTGCGTCGCAGGACTCCTGCTTCTGTTATTTCAGAAGAAGGAGGAAAGGTATGCCAGTCCACTCGAAAGGATCTTCGCAGCTGAGTATGTAGATGAAATTGCCTTCTACAGTAGCCCGCAGTGGACTGGGTTTCCACAAAAATGCTTTAAAGGTAGAGGCAGGAGGCTGCAGAGGCTCAGTATTCTACAGATCACGGAGGTCCGTGTTGAGATTTTCTCAAAGCCTCATCTGTCATATAGGTAATCTGCAGATGCTGCCCTGCTATATTCTGAGCCACTGCACACCTTCTACGACAGGCCCGGCATGCGTACACCTTGCTTGGGTCAATTTGACAGATCCATGGCTTGAAGCTCCGTTGGCACTTGATGGACTTGCAGCGCTTCAGCCTGCCACAGGTACCATGTCCACAGCCGTAGCCGCAGTCAAAAAAGGCAGGCTCCAAGAAAAACCCTGATTTCTTAGCCGTGCATCAAGTTCTTGCGTACATCCAAAAAAATCCGGCAAACTCGAGAAACAGAGTGGGACTAGCGGCATCAACAAAACTGCAAATCGATAGATTCTCTCTTCTATACTACCTGCCAGAAGCTTATCTCCAAGCCAGAAGCGCTCCTGCTAACTCAACGACTCCGCACAACAACTTGCTATGGTTTAAGCAATGCTTTCACAACCTGAAGGGCATGTCTGGCCTCCTGCATCTGCACATCACTGTCATTCATGTGCCCCAAGCCCTGCAGTCGCTCCGCACACATCAGCAAGGTTGTTGAACGTGTGCCAGTCACTCTGCATCTGATACTGGTGCGTACCATCAGAGGTTCTCAGTCAGCGCAATTGCGGTTGCTTACCCTGGCCACCGTACTGGCGCCACAAAGCATGGCCATGCAGTCATGCTCGGAAAGCTCTCTGCCGTTTGTCTGCTAGCCAGTGTCCCTTGCGCGCCACTGCTTCATACTAGCTTGTCAGTCAGCGTGCCTGTGGCAGCTGCAGCGGATTTCCCACATCCTGGCAACTGCGCATGCACTCATCATGGACTTCGAGAATCGAGAAGGCGTGCATCTTCTAGATACATCCCGATGCCGCATGGCAAGTCAATTGATCACACATCCCACACATCCCAGGATTCTGGTGCAAGCCACATCTTCAGACGACGGGATCAATGACAGTGAGCAGCGAGCGCGTCTGTCGTATCCACGTATGTCGAAGGTGGTGCGGTGCACACTTATCCTCATGAACCTGTCTCTCTGCTGTGTAGCAACTTCATGTGCGAGAGTGTGGGTTTCCACAGCTCGAGGTGGGACAAATGCCTGCACTCTTGCCACTTGCCACTTCTCTTCCCAGAACCTCTCAGTAAGCACACCTGTGGTTGCTGCAAGGGATTTCCCACATCCTGGCAGCTGCATGTGCAGCCAAATTGCAAGGCTAAGCACATGCAGCAAAAAAAGGCAGCACACACCCACAGACCTGCAAGTCAACTGATCATATACTGGAGGATGCTGGTGCTGGAAGCATGTTTTGAAGTATACTCAGTCCTTGGTCCTTAGGGTTCCGTACCCTAGCGTGTCGGAAGTTGCTCAACCTCCCACCTGAAGCCTTTCCCCGAAAAGTCTTGGAACGCGCACTCACCGTCACCCTCACCCTCATGAGTTTCAGGCAGTCGTTTGATTGGTGCGGCAAACTTGCAGTCCTAATCTCGGGATTGCGTACCACCGTCTGCTCCGAAGGCTCTCTGCCGTTTGTCTGCCAGCCAGTGTCCCTTGCACGCCACTGCTTCATACTAGCTTGTCAGTCAGCGCGCCTGTGGCAGCTGCATTGGATTTCCCACATCCTGGCAACTGCGCATGCACTCATCATGGACTTCGAGAATCGAGAAGGCATGCATCTTCTAGATACATCCCAATGCCGCATGGCATCCCACACATCCCAGGATTCTGGTGCAAGCCACATCTTCAGACGACGGGGTCAATGACAGTGAGCAGCGAGCACGTCTGTCGTATCCACGTATGTCGAAGGTGGTGCGGTGAACACTTATCCTCATGAACCTGTGTCTCTGCTGTGTAGCAACTTCATGTGCGAGAGTGTGGGTTTCCACAGCTCGAGGTGGGACAAATGCCTGCACTCCTGCCATTTGCCACTTCTCTTCCCAGAACCTCTCAGTAAGCGCACCTGTGGTTGCTGCAAGGGATTTTCCACATCCTGGCAGCTGCATGTGCAGCCAAATTGCAAGGCTAAGCACATGCAGCAAGAAAAGGCAGCACACACCCACAGACCTGCAAGTCAACTGATCATATACTGGAGGATGCTGGTGCTGGAAGCATGTTTTGAAGTATACTCAGTCCTTGGTCCTTAGGGTTCCGTACCCTAGCGTGTCGGAAGTTGCTCAACCTCCCACCTGAAGCCTTTCCCCGAAAAGTCTTGGAACGCGCACTCACCGTCACCCTCACCCTCATGAGTTTCAGGCAGTCGTTTGATTGGTGGGGCAAACTTGCAGTCCTAATCTCGGGATTGCGTACCACCGTCTGCTCCGAAGGCTCTCTGCCGTTTGTCTGCCAGCCAGTGTCCCTTGCACGCCACTGCTTCATACTAGCTTGTCAGTCAGCGTGCCTGTGGCAGCTGCATTGGATTTCCCACATCCTGGCAAGTGCGCATGCACTCATCATGGACTTCGAGAATCGAGAAGGCGTGCATCTTCTAGATACATCCCGATGCCGCATGGCAAGTCAATTGATCACACATCCCACACATCCCAGGATTCTGGTGCAAGCCACATCTTCAGACGACGGGATCAATGCAGCAGCGAGCACGTCTGTCGTATCCACGTATGTCGAAGGTGGTGCGGTGAACACTTATCCTCATGAACCTGTGTCTCTGCTGTGTAGCAACTTCATGTGCGAGAGTGTGGGTTTCCACAGCTCGAGGTGGGACAAATGCCTGCACTCCTGCCACTTGCCACTTCTCTCTTCCCAGAACCTCTCAGTAAGCGCACCTGTGGTTGCTGCAAGGGATTTCCCACATCCTGGCAGCTGCATGTGCAGCCAAATTGCAAGGCTAAGCACATGCAGCAAAAAAAGGCAGCACACACCCAGAGACCGGCAAGTCAACTGATCATATACTGGAGGATGCTGGTGCTGCAAGCATGTTTTGAAGTATACTCAGTCCTTGGTCCTTAGGGTTCCGTACCCTAGCGTGTCGGAAGTTGCTCAACCTCCCACCTGAAGCCTTTCCCCGAGAAGTCTTGGAACGCGCACTCACCGTCACCCTCACCCTCATGAGTTTCAGGCAGTCGTTTGATTGGTGCGGCAAACTTGCAGTCCTAATCTCGGGATTGCGTACCACCGTCTGCTCCGAAGGCTCTCTGCCGTTTGTCTGCCAGCCAGTGTCCCTTGCACGCCACTGCTTCATACTAGCTTGTCAGTCGGCGTGCCTGTGGCAGCTGCAGCGGATTTCCCACATCCTGGCAACTGCACATGCACTCATCATGGACTTCGAGAATCGAGAAGGCGTGCATCTTCTAGATACATCCCGATGCCGCATGGCAAGTCAATTGATCACACATCCCACACATCCCAGGATTCTGGTGCAAGCCACATCTTCAGACGACGGGATCAATGCAGCAGCGAGCACGTCTGTCGTATCCACGTATGTCGAAGGTGGTGCGGTGAACACTTATCCTCATGAACCTGTGTCTCTGCTGTGTAGCAACTTCATGTGCGAGAGTGTGGGTTTCCACAGCTCGAGGTGGGACAAATGCCTGCACTCCTGCCATTTGCCACTTCTCTTCCCAGAACCTCTCAGTAAGCGCACCTGTGGTTGCTGCAAGGGATTTTCCACATCCTGGCAGCTGCATGTGCAGCCAAATTGCAAGGCTAAGCACATGCAGCAAAAAAAAGGCAGCACACACCCACAGACCTGCAAGTCAACTGATCATATACTGGAGGATGCTGGTGCTGCAAGCATGTTTTGAAGTATACTCAGTCCTTGGTCCTTAGGGTTCCGTACCCTAGCGTGTCGGAAGTTGCTCAACCTCCCACCTGAAGCCTTTCCCCGAGAAGTCTTGGAACGCGCACTCACCGTCACCCTCACCCTCATGAGTTTCAGGCAGTCGTTTGATTGGTGCGGCAAACTTGCAGTCCTAATCTCGGGATTGCGTACCACCGTCTGCTCCGAAGGCTCTCTGCCGTTTGTCTGCTAGCCACTGTCCCTTGCACGCCACTGCTTCATACTAGCTTGTCAGTCAGCGCGCCTGTGGCAGCTGCAGCGGATTTCCCACATCCTGGCAAGTGCGCATGCACTCATCATGCATGGCCATGCAGCATGGCAAGATGTGATCATGGACTTCGAGAATCGAGAAGGCGTGCATCTTCTAGTTACATCTGGATGCCACATGGCAAGTCAATTGATCACACATCCCAGGAATCCAAGGACGCTGGTGCAGGATGTGCAGGCCGCATCTTCAAAGGACGGGACCTAAAGGACAGTGAGCAGCGAGCACGCCTGTCGTATCCGTCGAACCACAAGCGCCGGAGAGCCCCCGGGCAGCTGTGACACCAGCTACTTTCGTGCATGGCGTTAAAAAAAAACAACGCCTTCGTGCTTCCAGCTTTAGATGTCGACCCAGGATTCTGTCAACGGCGTGGGCCTGGCATGTCTGGCTTAGTTTTTGTCTGAGTCCTGCGCTGTCAGATCTTGAAGCCTGTTCGCGCATGCCCTGAACTAACACTGCGTCTGGAAAATGCAATAGACCCCTGACGTCAAGACCAGACCCGAGTCACGAGCCAAGAATGCGCGACGCAGAAACCACCAGGGAACGGACCCCATGCGACATGTGCAAGACACACAAATGACGAGGGTACAGAGCACGAGCCACACGGGGAATACACAATCAAATCACGAGGGCATTGAGCATTGAGGCCGCGCGATACCGTGGAGGCTTTGCGAATGCTTTGCGAACACTTTGCGAACGCTTTGCGAACGGTTTGCGAAAGCCCTGCCCCCTGCCTGCCCCCAAATCCCGAACCCTTGGAACGTTCTGCTACGCGTTCGGGACAAGCAAGTGCTGCAACAACAAACACCATTGTACCGAAATTGGACCACTCAGCACTCCCCGGGAGCCTGATTGTGCACCTCAGCCAGAGGGGCCTCCGTGGAAAACAGCATCAGTACACACTTCAACACTGCTAGCTGCTAGCTTTCAACTACAGAAGGTCGTCAAAGCCTGCGCAGCCCGCAGCCATTGAATTTCATCGCAGATACTCTGGTCGAGCTCTGGGGCGTTGGAAGCGCTGCCACACCAGGATTTCACAATCACATCAGGCTGGAACTGTCGTATTGCCTGTCGTGCGAAGCCATTCCGCCGATCCTGCTCGGTGCATTGAGGCCCTGAGGCAGAGGCATCACGGATGTCACCCAGATCAACGACGACAACTTCCATGCTAGCGCGGTTGAAACCGCGTGCGGTAATGGAATCTGCACGAGCGAATCCTGGTTCCAAAAGGTGTGAAATTTGAGACTGCTCGCAGTGTGCATTGCGGGTAGCAGAACCATGAGTTCCGCTGAAGACCAGAACTTTGCTGTCCAGATCAGTCTTCCAAAGCTGCCCCAATAGCTCGCTGAGCTGCTCTCCAGTCGTTTCAACATTCGAAGACCATACTGGTAAGGATTGTTCAAGATCTTCCTGGATCCGGAAGGTGTGACCTCCTGCGGGGCAACTCCGATCGATACCTAGGCCTCCATGCTGACAGTCCGACAGATCTAAGGGCGGAGGCCGAGCAGCCATGGAAATGATTCCACTCTGGCTTTGGAAGCCAGGCACAACGCGTCTCAATGCAGGAGAACCGCCAGGTAGGTGTACCAAGCAACTGAGCCAAAGCAGCTGGATTGACATGACGCTTCTTGGTCCTGCAAGGAGGCATTCTATTTCCTCGTAATGCCACATCAAGATCCCTAACACCTGCTCTTTGACTTCTATCCTCTGCGAAGCAACACTTTCAGAAACTCCACGTGATCCTACAGCTAGAGTCGGGAAAATCAAGGCGCCTCATGCTAACTGTGACCTTACAGGTCAACAGCCACTTGGGGGTCTTGAAATTAGGGTCCCCTTTCTGGAGGCTTTTGCAAGAAGGGTCCCGCAAATTTGCTGTGTACTGCGCTGTGCTGTGCTGTGGGGACCCCGATGTTGAAACCTGCACCTAGCAACATTAAATGGCAAAAGTCCGCCTAACGCAGTCTGTAAAGCGGATGCCAACGTACTGGCGTCATGAGCTGCTGCTGCCACCACGGATGAGTTCGTCCGACTCTGATGGGACGAGTAAATTGGCTTCAAACTACTCCATGACTATACCAGAAGCGACCTGGCCAAAGTTGTAGAGGACACTCCACGTAGCTTAAAACCAGTCTCGGCCTCTATGCAACGTCCACCTCCTCGACCCAAAACACAAGCATCGCAATCTCCCCAACGCCCCTACAGGCACTTTCAACCTCTCCCCACCTTGGAAGATTGTGCTGCTTAAAGTGTGGACGAAGGTCGCACAAGTGCTTGTGGTGGGAGAAATTGTTTCAACTCTACCTACATAACAGATGAACATTACAAACTGCACGAACCTTCCTTCTCCCTATCCCCTGTCAGTCCAACTGGCGACAGAAGCGAGTGACGCACAGCTTTCCAAAAAGGAAGCTGTATGCCCAAGACTTAGATGCTGCCATGAGCAAGGGGTTGGTCACCGTCAGCTGTGTCTGTACATGGTGCATTCCCGGGTCTACTCGAAGCAGAGAAACCACGAACTGATAAAATGTGCTCGTGCTAGTGCGGGCGCGTAAAGATGAGCATAGAGTTCGTGCGAGTGATACTGTTGGCTGCGCGATCTTGGCATTGTTGAAATGCATGCAGTAGGGCTGCATTCTTGTAATGTTTCCTCCAAGTCTTACAGGCTGGATGCACGAATTTGTTTCAAGCCTCAGCTCGACGATGTCGCCTTCTCCTGCTGCAGGGCCATGCACTACGGCTCTGACATCCCGTCAAAACTGGCTTGCACACGTCTTACCAAAGACTCCTTGGACAAGAAGAAATGACAGCTACCTGTGACCTGCTGAGCTCTCGTGCGCTGCGCCGGTCGGATCAGTGAGCGCAGATCTGATTCTATTTCGCCCATGACAGCGTGCAACCAGTAGCAGTAGCAGAAACACCAAGTCTGCACGAAACGACTGCAGCCCCTAGCCTGAGAAGCGATGTCACTTCTTCATCTCCTTGAGAGCAAGGTCCTGCGGTTGCACCAATGAACTTCCATAGATTTGGAACACATAGCTGCCCCTCGAAAGCTACATCCATGGCAGACCCTATAGGCTGTTAGATTCAGATAACAAATGCAGGCGGTGAACTAGCTGGCACCAGGCGAAGATGCGTCTGCCGCGTCAGCGCTACGCTAGCTAACCGTCCTTGATCTTGTGAGCATCTCCCGGCGACCAGAACGTAGCAACTGAGGGCCACATGGTGCCAAGGGCATCCACGAAGTTCAAGGTGACATCCCATCTGGCTCTGGTGCCAGCATCGCGCCAAACATATCGGCCATGATCGACCCTCTCAAGACAATCCTTGCGAATCAGGGCCATCTTCTCCATCACTTTAATGCCGGGCTCCTCGTGGCCGCCGACCCCGAAGTTGCAAACGACACCAAGGGCTCGGAAATCCTGGTCGTCACAGGTAGGGATGACGATGACGTAGTCTTTTTTCCCCTTGCCCTTCTCGTCCTTCCACACGGTCTTGCACCCAGTCGCTTGCTTCACATTTTTGCCTTTCTTGACAACAATGAACTTGCTTCCGAAGGCTCCGCCAGGGCTGTGACCCAGGTACAACTCATCTCCCTTAAGCTCGCAATCGCAGTAGATCATATCATCGCGCGCACGGCTGCCCTCGTCAGACCCGATTCTATTCAGGTGTTGCACATCCACGCTGCGCCATTCCACATGGATCCTTTCCGCTTCCTTCCACATAGGGTCTCTGGCTGCAGTCTCTAGACAGGAACTTTTTTGGCACGTGAAATCTTATGCATGGATACCATCGGGGCACCACATGCGGACCTGTCGTTTGAGCAAACCCTTCCGGCCTTTGCCTCCTCCAAGGCCTTCTGCTCCTTGTCCAAGGCCTTCCGCTCCGCGTCTAAGGCTTTCTTGATCTCTGCAAGGCGAGTCTTGGATGCGTCCTGAGCCTCTTGGAGAAGCTTCTGAAGATCCTGGACCTTTTGTGAGAGCGACTTGCCTGAAGAAGAGTGCTGGTACATATGCCAATTCAGCAAGTTCTGCAGCCGAGTTCGACCAACGGGGGTCAGCTTGCCTTTGATGCTTTCACAGTCTTTGATCTGTCTAGCCAGATCTGCTTCTGACTGTATGCCCTGCTTTTGAGCCCACATTGTCAGAGCGTTCATCACCTCCCCGTTCTCTACAATGCTCCATTGTGCAAGAATCTCGTCGAGTGCCTTGCGCGTCTGAGCGCAAGCTTTTGCATGCTTGCAAAGCTTGTTCACCTGGTCCTTCAAGAGGAGCGAAGCATCGGGAAACTGGTCATAGCAAGGGGGCTGACCTTGCAAAGCTGCTTCCAGGACTTGCTTGTAAGGCTTCAAGGCAGAAAGCTTCGAGGCGTCTTTCCGCTTCAAGGCCTCGCAGGTCTGGGTTCAGGGTTTAGAGGTTAGGGCTTGCGGTTTAGGATTTAAGGCCCTGCTCACAACCATGGACTTGTAGACTTGAGTGATCCGGCAAAAGGTAGATTTGTGCCAGAACTTGTTCCTGCACCTCATGCCGGAACAAGCGCATCATGCATAGGTCTCGCGTGATATACATCGATGCGACATGTACTAAGGACAGAACCACAGCAGAGGGAGCAGAGGGCCTCGAACTGGTTCAAGAACTCCCTCGCGGAGTTTTCGCCGCCTTTCCCGATGAAACTCAGAAGTGCGGCATCTGCCGCTTGCGCACTGTCGCGCACCGACCGGCGCTGAATTTCATTTAACACCTTCTCTAGCTTGGCATCCGTGACATCCTTGGGTTTGTCGGGCATGCGCTTCACTGTGTCATAACACTGCTTCAATTCCTCCGCAGTGTCGGTGCTGCGAACGGCATCTGCTAGGCTCCGGAGTTCAGGTGACTGCGATCTGACGCCGGCACGCCAGCCAAGGCTCACAGCTGCCTCACGGCGGAGTTGGCAGAAAACCGCCTCCACTCTGGCGGCTTCGCTGCCTTCGCCTGTCTTACGGCGGTCATAGTGAGTGTTGAAAAAGGCGAACCTGATCTTGCTGCATTGCCCCTCAGAGAGGCCCAGACCTTGATACTCATCCTTCTCGTCATCTGGCCTCAAGGGCTTCTGTAGCATGCCGAGGAAATCGTTCTTAAACTCGTCTGTTGTCTGCAGCATACCCATGCTTCGCTGATCCTCCGAGTCCTGGTCAAGGCGCCACCAGTTCACACAGACTACGGTGTGCTGCCACATCTCAGTCCCGAAGGCGGCCTGCAAGAACTGGAGAGTCTCCCTCACACCTCTCGGGATTCGAGTTCTGGCATCAACGACTAACAGCAGCATGTCGATGCGATCCATGCCATTGAGCATTTGGGCGGTCAGGTGCATGTGCTCTCGATCCTTTTCTTGGCCTCTTCCATCGCCCGGGCCAGGAGTGTCCGCGAAAATGTCCTCCTCGCTCCTGCGGATCTCGGGCTTCTCGGTCCCCGCTTCGCTGGTGTTGCCAAGCTTGAAGCCGGATTTCCACTGCTTGGATTCGAAATCAAAGTCAAGACTGCCCTCCAATAAGCTTAAGGTCGCACTCTTGCCGACTCCAGTTCCCCCAATGGCGACCCATCTTTTGGCGTCTTCGGGGAACGCCTTGGTTGGAGACTCAAGTTCGAGCATCCTTGAAACAGCACAAACCCAGCCAAAACAGAGGGAAGGGGCAAGCTTCAATGCCAACACTAAAAGCCACGACGGCACCTTCATCTGCTGCCGCACCTCCTTCTCGGCGGGGGCGGCCGCAGGGTCCGCCTCCAAATCGTCAAGGAGCTGCTGGCGAGCCTGCATGTCATCATCCTGGCACGGTAGCAAAATCGGCAATAGGTAGGTTGCGTCGTGAACCTGATCCTGGTGATTCGGCTCTAAACTACGAGGCTCTAGTGTCGGGAAGTGTTCACGCCAGCTCAGCAACATGCAAAACTTCGGCTGCAGCGCAAGGCATCGACTGCACAGAGCTGCTGAACGGCGTGCCTTCTGAGCCCTGCCTCGTAGTTTCACCGGGCTAAAGCCGCACAGCTCATCAAAGAGCAGCTTCATTTTCTTCTCGTTCCGGCTCCACCACTTCTGCCCACGGGCAGACGCTTCATCCGAAGGGTGGTGGAAGTGCCAGCTGGACCTGTGCAGAACACCAATGGCATCGATCTCAGCCACCTCCGGAGGCTTTCCGTCAGCCGTCTTGCAGCAGAGAACCGTGTTCTTGTTGATGCTTTTTGGAAAGAGATCAAGAACAGCGTCCTGTTCCTGCTTCTGTGACTGCGACAGACCCGTGGGTGTCGGAACGACGCAGCATACACCTGTAAGGGCACTGGGGACATGTTGCGGGTAGGTGCGGAAGAAAAGCTCGACTTGCTCTGCAACTTGAGATGCCCGAGCTTTTGAGGCATTCGGAGTTCGCAGGTCATAGTCCATAAAGGTAACTCTGCTCTGCACTCGCCCGCCCGCTACAGCCGGTATCTTGTACGCAGAGATTACGATGTCAGCCTCACCTCCTGGCCAGGAACATCAACTACTACAAGGCATTGCCAACAAGTAAACCGAAGATCAAGGCATTTAGCATGCTCCAGAGTCTGAACAGACAAGTCATCTAGTCCCAGGCCCCAGGGCTCACACTCACGCACCGCGGCCTTGGTGAAGATCCGGAATGCCTTTGAAGCGGTGCAGCTCCTGCCACTTCGTGCCGAAGATGTAGTTCAGCATAGTGTCCATGTGTTCCAATTTGTCCGCACGACTTCCGGACAGCAGGATGGTGACCTCCTTGTGGACACTGTGATCTACAAAAGCCTCGGGAACCTGTGCCTCGAACAGACGTCGAACACATCGGATGGGGCTGTGGTTGGAAGTGCCCTCTGGCAAGGGTATGTCATTGGGCTCGGAGTGACGCTGCTCGAAAAGGTAGATGTAGGTGGAGTCGCTGTCTGCCGTGGCTGTCTTGAGCTGGGCCGCAATCTTGGCGCCCACAGAAGGCTCCGTTTCCCTGCGATTCCTCTCCTGGGCTACCAGATCCATCAGCTTCCCCTTGTCGATGTCTTGGAAGCTGCAGCTTTTCTCCATCTGAGCGCATTCAGGCTCTTCCATCTCCAGGAGTGCCTCGACTCCGCCCCTTTGCTTCTCATACATGATCTCAGAGTACTTCTCCAAGCCAGCCGCCTTAAGGAAGCACATCAGCTCCTGTGGGGCCGTCGGCTTGATTGCCTGGCACTGCTTCAGACAAAGCGGAATCTTTCTGCAGGAATCCGATAAAAGCAACTGGGCATGAGTTACTGGTATCTGGGCATGATCTCATGCTCCAAGGTCATTGCATGAGCCTCTGACAAAATGTGCACGCATACACACTCAAACCACACATCAAGTGCTCACATTCTGACATGGTCAGACCTATATCCAAACAGCAATAACTCGTGCAGGAAACGCCTCCTTGGGTGAGATTTGCGCAGAAATCTGCCTCCGGGCTTGACCTGAATCACTGGACCAAGCGGAATTTGTGAGACAAGAGCCTGCGGTTGAATCGCGCAACGCATCGCAACGCTGCATTGCAACGTGGTTTCTTCCTTTGTACCCACACACCGAAGGGGATGGTTCCGTGCAGATGTGCCATTTGCCCGGTGAAAAGGGGGTGGCAGCCACATCTGTCACTGAGGCTACCTTTGCTGCTTGCTGTTCGGATTCTAATTCCTGGTGTGTCTCCTTCTCTTCTTCTTCATTGTCGTACTACTCTTCACGTCTGTCTTTGCCTCGCGCGCTCATGTGCCCAGTTGCAAGCCATTAGCCTGAGATCCGTACGCGCACGCCGCTGCGGCAATTTGGAATCCCAACTGGCGGCACAGACAGTCGGCAACTCGGCAAACACACCAGACACCATCACTACTGCATGTCACAGATGCTCATGAATCGTGAAAGCTTTAGCATTGATTCAACCGATGTCGCTTTGCGTCTCTCTTGTAAGCCAGCCTGTCCCAGTCACCAGTCACTTTGAAAACAATTTGTGCCTGAGCAAAGCGCAGGCAGAAACTCCAGCGAGCCGGATGTCACTGATGTCACCAAGCTTTGGAACCGGAAGCATTCGGATGACTCAAGCTTTCATGCTGAGACCGACACAGTCGCGGTTCTCAAACTTTTCTGGAGATCTGCCTCCAAAATTTTCGTCCCCCTGTTGACATGGTCGTTGCTGTCGAGCCTCCACCTGGGATATGTATGCATTACTACATGCCGCTCAACTGTGAGCCAAAATCTGGATTGCCTCACTCCCTTGCGAGAAAGTGTCTTGGGCTGGTCATGATAGACTCAGTTGGACGGAGTCTGAAAAACACTGGGCAACCGGCCAGTCGTCGCCAATCTTGCGAATGCAAAACCAGTGGCTGCCCTGTCATCAAACAGGATTCGTTTTCTCTGAGAAAGGCTGGTCGCTCACGTGCCCGCCAGCACCATATGCTTTCAAATTATGCCGGCGTAGACCCCAAACAGTGAGGAGGGCCAGAAGAGGCCAAAGGAGGCCAGAAGAGGTCTCGAAAAATGCGGCCCGCAATCTAAGTGGCCAACCCCAGAAGATGCCAGAAGAGGCAGGAATTCGCGCGATCGAAACGCGACGGAATTCGCGCGAAACCACAGCGGCAAGCGTCGAAACGCAACGGAATTCGCACGAAACCGTCGAAACGCAACGGAATTCGCGAGAAGAGGCCAGAAGAGGCCGGAAATCGCGCGAAACCACAGCGGGAGAGTCGAAACGCAACGGAAGTCGCGCGAAATTTATCCACAGCGGGAGCGTCGAAACGCAACGGAAGTCGCACGAAACCACAGCGGGAGCGTGGAAACGAAGGCCCCGCCCCACCGCGTGCGCCGTTGCGGCCCGCAACCTAACTGGCCCCCCCCCAGAAGAGGCCTGAAGAGGCCACGAGAGGCCGGAATTCGCGCGAAACCACAGCGGGAGCATCGAAACGCAACGGAATTCGCGCGAAACCACAGCGGAGCGTCGAAACGAAGGCCCCGCCCCACCGCGTGCGCCGTTACGGCCCGCAACCTAAGTGGCCCCCCCCAGAAGAGGCCAGAAGAGGCTGGAGCAAGCCAGAAGAGGCCGGAATTCACGCGAAACCACAGCGGGAGCTTCGAAACGCAACAGAATGCGCGAAACCACAGCGGGAGCGTCGAAACAAAGGCCCCGCCCCACCACGTGCGCCGTTGCGGCCCGCAACCTAAGTGGCCCCCCCCAGAAGAGGCCTGAAGAGGCCACGAGAGGCCGGAATTCGCGCGAAACCACAGCGGGAGCATCGAAACGCAACGGAATTCGCGCGAAACCACAGCGGGAGCGTCGAAACGCAACGGAACCACAGCGGGAGCATCGAAACCAAGGCCCCGCCCCACTGCCGCGTGCGCCGTTGCGGCCCGCAACCCAAATTCCTTTACTCTGAACGCAAGAACCCCATTGTGCAAGCACTGTTTGGGGAAGTACTGAAAACATGGGAACTGAGATGTAGCGCTTCTGGGATTCAGCTGGTTTGTGGAGGAGCTGTTGCCACGGCGTGGATATGGAGCACTGTTCCATACTAACGTGTTCGAGTGCCGAGTTCAACGAACTTCGTTGAGGGAGGCTTCTCAGAAGAGTTCGTGTGATGAGTGTTGGGGAGTGGGGGGGGGGGGGGCTTGGGAGGCGGCGACTCTGATTAGAGAACATTGCCTCTGCTCAGCCCTCAACCATGCAAGATTCTGCGTAGCTTCGGACGACCAGATGTGCTAGAGCTACGAGTGTCGATAAGTGAAGAAGCAAGTGTTTCAGAGTTCGCCGGGTCGCCAGGATTTCATTCCGTCCGGGGCACTTACAGGGGGAGGTCGTCAGAGGAGAGCCAGACGTTATCTGTGAGGTAGCCTTTCTTTTTGGAGATAGGCGCGAGAAGAAAAGGAAAACAGGGAGCGGAGCAGACAGAAACTGAACAGCGGGCAAGTGAATGAGCAAACAAGCACAGCATGTCCTACTCAGTCTGGTGAAGGTAATGACAAGGCGATTGCAAGCTGCCCTGTGCACAGCTGGTGCTACAGGGGCATGCAACGCCTTTGTCTCCACCAGCCTCGTGAACGATCATGGCCCGCAAGTTTTCCAATCCAGCTGCCCGTTCCTCTGGGCTCATGTTCTCCTTGGCCAGCCAGCTGGCTCAAAAAGTCTGTTTTCGTATCGAGAATTTTGCGTGTGACGCGATTGAGGCGTGATAGAATCTCTGCCGATTGCTTTCTTCGTCTTTCTGATGTCTCCTGCCTGATGTGGCTGACTGAGCTGGACGCCAGCTTGAAGCCAACAGAGCGAAGGGCAACCTCTCAAAAAAGGCCATGTGTTCACAATCTTGACCGCCTAATTAGCGGCCCCTGCAGCCCAAGAAGGGGGTGCTCTCGTTCACGGCCGACAGCTTCTTGGAATAAGTAAGTAGGCCACCATCACCACTGGAGCCCGGAAGTTCCCGAGACCATCGCAAAGATCTTCAGGAGTGTATTCGACCTGCAGCCCCCATTCATGACCAAAACCAATCTTTCCGAAACTCGCAAGAAGAATCCGGCAGCCACCAAGCAGAAGGGTTTGGACCGAGCCAATGACCTTGTGGCCTTCGCCAGCCAATTCCTGCAAGGCATGCTGTCTTTCATGACACAGCCGAGCCACACAACAGTGCCATGACAGTCAACATGCAACGTGCTTCTGTGTCTCAAAGCCTGGCTTTGGCGAAACGCGCTGTTTATCTCAGCCTGTCGGTCATGGGGGGGGGGGGGGGGGGGGGGGGGGGGGGGTGGCAAGGCTTTCACAAGCTGTCAGTTAAGGAAGCAACGCAAGCACTTAGGGTCTTGCAGCAAGGGAGGCCCGCTTCCAGCCTCTGCTTCGCTGACGAAGCGCTCAAAAAAGTCGTTGATCTTAAACTCCTCAACCTAACGAATGATTCATGATTCTTGACATGCCCCTGTGTTTCGGTATAACACAGCCCAAAAAAAAGGCTAACTGGTTTACACCAAACCTGTCCAGCTCCACTCAAATGTGATCTGCACTTCTGTGCTGGACCCTAGCCTAGCAGTGCAAACCAGGTGAGGTCTCATCAAGAAGGTCAGGACAAGCCCCACAGTCGAGATAGAATGAGATCCGGATAGGCAAACCCAGCGCAGGACCTGCAGCGCGTGATTGACTGCATGTTTCGCCTCAGTACATGCAAGAAGCTCCACAGGTCAGCTTATACAGCACCAGCCATTCAGGACCGGGCGCAGTAGCATGCCTCCTGCTCCTCGAAGTAAGGAGCCTTTGAGAAGCGCTGCTTGCTGTCATTCTCTGCAGCTGCTAAAGCCACTGTCAGCACTCAGATGTTGCCTTGAAACAGTCATAGAATGGCCACTCCGCAGACATTCGTAGGGCACAGTGTCTAGCTTGCGTGTAGGGCAACCTGTACACAATCAGCAGCATGCCGGCCTCCGAAACCACAACCCAGCTGCCCTCGCTGTCGGAGCCGGCGATGCCGGAGGTCGCCGAGCCACCACTGCGAACGTCCTGTCATGTCAAGGATTGGGCCATAGAGGGCAATCTGAAAGGAATCTCGCAAAGCACTGGTAGGAAAGTCGCAGCTCCCGCAGGTGCTTTCAATCCGCCTTCCTTCGAGGCATACAGACCACTCTGAAAGGTTGACAAATACAACGGAAGGATTTCAACATCGCCCGTCTCACGAGGTGGGGCGGGAAAGAGGATGTCCCAAAACCGAAAAGACTCCTCAATAGCTGCCCACTCTTAAATGTCCACCCACCTCGGTGGCTCGGTCGAAACCTCCCCCACGAAGGCCGCACCACATCCTGCTTTCGGCAGCCACATCATGGACATGAGAGTGAGACAAGAGCTTCCAGGGCTCAGGCTTGTCGAAAGCGTTTGCTGCAGGAGCCTGATCAAGCAAGGAACAAGCTTGCTGGCTCTTAGTAGGGAAGGCGGCAATTAGGTACAATGCATTCCCCCCCTTAAGGGACTTAAACTGGCTTAGGATTCCTACTTCCGTAGTTCCCGGCAAGAATGGCAGAGCATGAGAGCTGCTCCGCAGCTTAAGGCACGCACGGTCACGCCGGGTCTGTTCGCGAGCTCAAGCTCTGCAGCGCTTCTTGTGCATAGGGTTATAGGATTTGGGGTGTCCTCTATGCTGCATGGGATCTCCTACAAGAAGCAACTGCTTTGCAGCCAGGCCAGTGTCATGTGCCAGCAAACATCTCCCTCACCTGGCCTCTACCGTCTTCGATGGTCCATCACAGACATCAAGATCAGAAGACCTGGAGGTAGTCCAGCGCCACTGCTTACGCAGGCTGGCTGAAGGAAAGCAGCTTACCAAGCATCGCGCTGACACGCCTGAACCCAATTCGACAACATCTAAGTTTCGACCACCTCACCCCGCAGAGGAAGCGCTACCGGCCACCCACACCAATTTGATGACCCAACCCACTCCTCGAGAATCCTACAGGCTCCTAATCCAAAAGGCGCCGAAACAGTCAACTGCACAGTACCCTCCCGAGAGCGGTCAATGTCTCTCAGACTATGAGCAGCAACGTTTATTTGCTTCATACCCGATTTGCCGTGATCCTTTTCGGCGCAACCTATCTCGTTGAACCAACTTTTCGCACAGGCTGCTATTTGACTGTATCCAAGAACTCCCTTCTTGAACAAGACAGATCTGGGCCCCCCAAACCATGAACCCTGGACCCTCTTCCGTTCTTGCGCTTGCCAAATACCTCGACCCTTAGTACACTCCTCCTGCGAAACTAAATGCGGTCGCTCACATGTCATGCTCTCGTCACTCTCAGACCAAGATTGCTCGACTCTGCTGTCGTAGTCATGTTTCACTGCAAACGTTGGGGTCGTTGCAGTGCAAAGCAGAGGGGTGTTTTAGGCAGTCTTTGGGTTCATGGGAAGACAGAAACAGAAACAATGTCGAGGGTAACGACAGGGACAGCCCCGCAAGGAACGCCAACAGCAGGTGGCTAAGTGTTTGCCAAGTGCAGCTTCTGAATCTTGCAGATGTGTTGCAGAAGTACCAGCCAGGTGGTCGACCAAAGCTGGGGCTCCCACTGCGGAGCTGGCTGTGAGGAAGCCCCAAGAATCTTCCCTTGTGAGGCAGCGACAACCTGGGCGACCTTGGGAGTCTTCTTGCATGGACGAACACAGACGAGAGATAACTGGAACCTATGCTACCTTCGAGACAGTCGTTGAATAACACGCGCAGGCCCGAGCCCAACTGTCCAGAACGTGGCAGCATCGCTTCATTCGAAAGGTTCGGAAAACTCCTCTGGTTGGACGACAGCATTCGTGCTCGAAGCAATGGCACCTCCATGCGTGGCTGTACAACATGCAGCAAAGGCCCGTGCGCTGAGCAGCACCAAGGCGCTTCGCATGCTTCAACTGGGTGAAGAGTGGCATGACATCCTGGCATGCTTTTACTATGCCCGTGTGCGGCAAAACCTAGGGCATCTCAGGGCGCATGCCGCGCCTTAAGAAAGGTTCCGGCAAAGACGTCGCCAAATATCTGGCGGACCTTGGCTGTCATCTCATACTGAAAGGCCAGACCTGCCAGGATCTCATGGGCACTCGCGAAATGCCGCGCAGACGAGTGGATGCTTGCAGGCGCGCACGCGTAAGCAAAAAAAAACAACACGAGGACATTCAAAAAATTGGTCATGAAGAAACACGTGACCGCAGCCCTCCTACTGCAGTTGCCTCGTGCCCCGAGGACAGCTACAAACAGACAAGCAGCTGCGACATCGGCCCGCGTGCAAGGACAACAAGCGAATCCTTCCACGCATGGGCGTGCTGTGCTTGCGACATTCCGGCGCTTCCCACTCCATAAAGACCGCAACGTACCAGCACGCGGCAGACGACAAGTGGCACAAAAAAGAAGCGGCTCAAGAGCCACATTGACATTCATCCGTAACACCGCCGCAAATCGGATCACGGAACCATACGGGAAGCATCTTTTGCTGCTCGAATCTGTGCTCATGTTGATGCAGCCTATAGCCTGAGGGGTTGCCACCTTGCCGGGCTGAGGAATCAGAGCAGCGGGCTTTCCAGAAGCCAGACTTCATCTCGGCTTCGGCCACCCCCTGAAGTCTCTTGGCAGATCTTCTGCCACTTTATGTTGTGGGCTCATGATGGCTCATGTGTGGCGAGGTATCCACCTTGGCCTTCGACAGAACGTCGCGGCGTCGCCTGCGCTCCTGGCTTGCGAATTGCTCATTGAAGGTCACTCGCGAAGACATCCCTACTTGCAGAATCCCCCAATCCCGCTTCGAACCTCAAGCTGCCCAAAGCAACAGCACATTCAATCAGACCCGGCCTCATCCTTTCGGGCTTTCTGTGCCTTCCGTTGTTGCTGTGGCTTCAGGCCACGTCCTGGATGCACGACGATGCTGACGACCAGGAAGCTGTCAACAGACCAGCTGTGGCCCTGGCTGGTGCCCCGACAAACCTGCACCAAGACTTCAGAGAACAAGCTTTTCCAACAACATGTTCGTATACCTTCTGAAGTACCAAGAGCCGAGCCGCCCAAGGGCCCCACACGACTTACAGAAAGCCCCAACATTGATCGCAGATAGGTGGAGTTGGGCGACTCCCAAAGAAGCTACTCGCCTCTTAAATGGGAGTTAGGGTTCTTGACTGACTTGTTGGGTCCTTATGGCCCTTCAATTCTGGATCTACATCCTAGGCAACACGTTTAGGGAGACATGTCTTCCGCTGATGCAGGTTGTGTCTCCACAACCAGTTTGCCCTGCAGAGCCCGCACCTATGGAAATCAGCTCAGACAAGCCCCGAGTTTAGACAGTCTTCATTTCGGGTGTCTGGAGGCTATTCTAAGGTCTGCAAATAGTCCAAAATCAAGGCAAAATTCCTTTCGAGCGGTTCCTATTTTGGGTGCCCTCAGCCGCGCCTTGCCCATAGACTCTTGGAAGGCGGCAGCAGTTCAAGGAGATGGCGTTTGAGCTTTGAAAGGCTGGCGGCGAAAAACACAGCAGCGAGGGCTGAGTCGACAAGGAGCCACTATGTATGATCAACAAGCGCCGACCTTTGCCACACGGCCGATACACGGTATGGCTTGTACTGGGCCAGCAGTGGCTTCATCACGGCGATGACATGCCTACCTCAACGTCAGGGCCTCGAGGTGAGGTGAGGTGAGGTGAGGATCGACCGAGGCACGAGCCTGGCCTAACAAAAGGGCGGCCCCTCCGGCACAAGGCTTAAGAGGCCAGCCCCAACAACACACGACACGACAACCACAAAACAAAAAGGAACAGCAACGCGAAACGAACGAGACAACGCAACGCTCTGCGGACCTCCATGGCGAGCTAATTTGCCCTCGCCCTGACCACCCAAAGGCTCACGTCCTTTGCCGCTTCTACCTGCGCGAGCATCTCGATGAGGACCCTGTGAAGCTGCAGCAGAAAAACGAGGCGAAACCACGCGGGTAGAGGCCGGATGAACCAGGCGTCGACGGTGCTGGAGGGGGGCTTGATCCCCGCTCGCACTCAATAACCACTGATTCACTTCGCGACCTTACTTGGCTGACATTTCCTTCCCAATCCATGAGTCTTGAGTTGTACACCACGTGCTTCCCAATATCCAGCTTCTCTGCCTTGTGATGTTGTCCTCGAGTCTGCGCCCACGCAGCATACCAACGCGAGCACCGCTCGCACCGCTACCGCGTAGCGTACGCACCGCGAGCACCGCCCGCACTTCTACCACGCCGCCCACGGTCGTCACGTAAACTGCTATCCCCACGGCTCCGGCACCGCCGGTGTCTGCGGCCAGAGCGAGAGCGTCGGCGCCCGGGGTAGACCCTACCCCCGCCCTGCTCACGTCTCCCATCCCATCCCAAACTGCCACCATCCGTCTGTGCAACTGCCGGGTCCGCATCGCCCTGCTGCCAAAAAGTAGGCTCCGAGCTCCGAAACATAGTCGAATTTGAAAAGGGGCCCCACGGCCTGTTATTTCCAAGTATCGCAGAAAAAGTGAATCCTCTCCAGAAATAGACCTCCAGATGCTCAAAGACTGCAACGACCCCCAACCCACGATTGAGTTGCACCCAAAGTCCAAGGAATGCACACATAACATCATACACCGAGGCACTGTCGCACTAGCGCCACAGAGGGGGGAAGAAGGGGGTGCTCGTCGAACCCTCAACCTGAGGATCTTAGTGCCGCCCCGGAGGTCCACCCAACTTCCAACTCCAGCCCCTCCGCAAGCCAGCGCTAGTCTCCGGGGGTCAGGGCCTCGAGACCATGTAGCGCACGAAGAACTCATGGGACTCACGCAAGCTTATCTTGAGCGACCGAGAGGCAGTGAAGGCGAAAAGGCATGCGAAAACGAGGCTGGCAATTCTGGAAATGCACTGAACCGAGTCGGAAGACGTCTATGGCTTTACCATTGACTAGTGTTTGAGGTTCTTGGGCTCACATGGCTCGGCTGCACACCAACAGGAAGCCTCACAGGAGCCTCGTTTCGGGTTTAGGGTTTAGGGTCTAGGGGTTTAGGGTTTAAGGTTTAGAGTTTGGGGTTCAGGGTTTGGGTTTAGGGTTTGGGGCCTCAAGCCTGGCATGTCTTGTCGACGACAGCTTCTGCCGAGCAGCATGATCACCGAGTCTCGACATTGTCAACAAATCGACAAGGTCCAGAAGCACGAAACATGCGCCACGAGCTTCCCGACCGGCATTTTGTCTGAAAGGGCTTGTGCCCTTACGGTGAGAGCGGCGTGAAACGATGGATTATATGCCCACGACAAAACTGGCATGCTGTCTTGCAGCAACCAGCTCCAGTGCGCAGACGTTCTTTCCAGCAACAAAAATATTCGCTCTCAAATGAAACCACTATAAAGACTCACAATGACAACTCGAAGGAGAGACAGAAAGAACGAAACAAGTATTGTGGGCTCAGCAGATTTTCTGGAGATTCTAGAGTCTATGGTTCAGCAACACGAGGCACCTCAAAGAGCTGCTTATTTGAGGGTGTCCGAAAATCTTTAAGGGGATTCTATTCCGTTTGGGGTATGAAAAGGGGTACCCTATTTTCGGACACCCCCAATTTCTGCACAGGTTGTATAACGGCATCTTGTACATCTGCCACGGCCGTGTGCATCTGTTGGAAAGCTGCGCAAGACTTTTGACGAGTTGGGAGCTCACGCGCGTGTCGCGGCGGAACATGTAGTCACAGCTACCTGGCCATGACTGCAAGACCACTTGTCTCCTCGGTTCCAGTGGAGCAGACTCCATGACAGCCAACGTTACAATGTGCGACTGGGCTGAGTCGGATCTGGACATGCAATGAGACTGGCAACGGTGCGAAACCAGTAGCTGTACGACACTACAGTCCGCATTGCGAGTCCACACAAAGCTGGTCCCGGCAGGGGCCTGTGCTGAGTCAGAGCCATGGCGAGTCCTGCCACTGCCGGCCAGGCCTCACTTCACAACTTCCGTGCAGGCCTTGCCACAGCAGAACTCCTCCAAACCACTCTGGAGAAGAGCGCTGCCGCCGAGTCCTTGCACGAGCTGGCCGAGGGACAGCTTCCGGCCCTCCCAGATCCCCTGGAGATTCCCCTCTGAGGTCAATAATCATTGAGGACCTCACTCCTCCAAGCTGCAGGTTTGCGTCTGCTGTGCTGACTGGGCACTTTCAGGGCACGTGTGGCACAGAGACGGAGAGATGCGCAGAGCCACTGAAACACAAAGTTGGTGGCGCAAAGTGGGCAAAAACGGTGCCAGCACAGACCTGCTCTGCTTGACGCTACTGCAATGTATCTTCCGCTTTTCCCCTGCTCGTGTGTGCTTGCACTGGCTTTGCAGGACGCAAGCCGATGTCGGGCTGTGCACTTTGTATGTCCGTTAAAACAGTGTATGCTTGGTGCACTTTGGTATGAGGATTCAACGAGCTGGACTGAAGATGGTGTAAATCAAATCGTCAGGAGAACGAGGCAACTGCTGCTGTAAGGATGGCCACCTTCGATCTCACGAGGAAGTTCTGAAGGCCGTGCCAGCAGGTGCCGCATGATGCGTTTGCGCCGTTCTGCAAATGACTCTCACGGGTCAATCTGGCAAGTCGCCGTCGGCGGCGCCGCTTCCTGACACGGGTATCAGGCCAGCAGAAGCACAGTCTCTGCAGCTTAGCATGTTGCAATAGGACATCGCCGAATGGAGGTTCTGGTTCATGAGCTTTCAATTCGTTCAAGAGGGTGCTTAGCAAAATGCAGCTCAAGCCCCGCAGCGTGGCCAGGAGCCTCTCGCGGCCCTGCGTGAGCAGCTGCATGGCACATTCCAGAGAACCCGCAGATGCCAATCCAGCACGCGGCCAAAGGTTCAGCTCTTCTAAGGCGGCCGCAGGACGACAAGCAATTGGCAGCGTCGTTGCTGAATGCACTTTACATATGAGCAGCTTGACTGCATGGCTTGGGGGCTTCCGAATAGCCTGGAGGTTTTGAGCACATGGCCTGGGGCAGGGTTTGAGGCATGTCCTTGAGACACATCAGCACAGAACAGTGCCCTCTCGCCTAGCCCACCGGCAGCACGAGCTCAGCGTGTCACCGGCCAACAGCAAACGTGAGGCCACAGCCCCGCAGCCGTATTACATGCCGGCTTGCCCTGAACATCACGTTGTTGCACAGTGTCCCGACGACGCCATCGCTAGTTGGAAGGGCCGGTCCTGATCCTGCACGCGGGCAGCAGAACCGCAAGCAGCGCTTCGAGAAGCAGCATCAGTTTGCAAGGAGACGTCCGTCTCTTGAGTCAGGCTTCTCAGAGCAGCTTGCAGGAAGGGGTGCGATTTCTGGCAGGTCCGTGAACCGCGCTCGGCGTCAAACTGCCAGAGCTGGTGCCCACTGCGGCAGAAGCGGGCCGCATTGCGCTGCCACACTCACCTCGAAAGGTGAGGTCGTGGCCGGCAGGTCACGACAGGCGCCCGAGGCGAAGAGCACACACACGGATCCCTCGAAACAAAGACATGGAGGCGCAGCCTCTCCTTTTCTCTGCACACGGCACCCGTGCTGCTAGGACAAGCCATCCCAGCAGGAACCCAGAAACGTGCCCCGACGCATTTTCAGGCTCAATGAAGGACAGTTTCAGGCTTCCGGCGAGACAGGGCAGGATGCTTCGGGTGCACTTTAGGGTGGCCGCGGCACAGCACGACTTTTCAGGGAAAGACAGGGGATGTGACGCTGCTTGAGCTCTCCAGCATTCCGAAAAGGCAACGCAATTTGTGAACATGCTTACCACAACAGTTGATGCTCAAATGCAGGGTCTGTATGGGAAACATTTTTCAGGTTCTAGCGTCAGCGACAGGATGCTCCGGCAGCCCGTTGCCCCTTTCGCACAGGCCCTCACAGCAAGTTGTACCCACGCTTATGAAGGCGGTCGCGGCACCAAGACGACTTTTCAGAACTTTCCAGCCGAACTTCAACGAGGCAAGGGAATCTGTGAACATGCCTGCCATAATAAGGACTCAGGGTCTGCACGCATACTTTCTGTGACAAATATCAGTGAACATCGTGTGTCATCCACACGTGCGCCCTTCTAGAGAGCCTCAATGAGAGGTGAAGAATGGTGAAGAGCAGTTGAAAGAGTGCACATGCAGGAGTGTCCTTCTTGCTGCGAAGGTAGCAACCCTAACCCATCTGCTCGGATTGGTACATGTGGTTACCACAAACACTCTGCGATCTCAGCATCCAAAACCAATTGCACACATGGGAAACATCTGAGGTCAACAATCATTGAGGACCTTACTCCTCCAAGCTGCAGGTTTGCGTCTGCTGCGCTGACTGGGCACTTTCAGGGCACGTGCGGCGCAGAGACGGAGAGATGCACAGAGCGACTGAAACACAAAGTTGGCGGTGCAAAGTGGGCAAAAACGGTGCCAGCACAGACCTGCTGTGCTTGACATTACTGCAATGTGCGCTTCGGCACATGCATCTTCCGCCGCTATTTCCCTGCTCGTGTGTGCTTGCACTGGCTTTGCCGGACGCAAGCCGATGTTGGGCTGCGCACTTTGAAATGTCCGTTAAAACAATGTATGCTTGGTGATGCTTGGTGCACTTTTGTATGAGGATTCGACGAGCTGGACTGAAGATGGTGTAAATCAAATCGTCAGGAGGATGAGGCAACTGCTGCTGTTTGGATGGCCACCTTCGATCTCACGTGGAAGTTCTGAAGGTCGTGCCAGCAGGTGCCGCATGATGCGTTTGCGCCGTTCTGCAAGTGACTCTCACGGGTCAATCTGGCAAGTCGCCGTCGGCGGCGCCGCTTCCTGACACGGGCATCAGGCCAGCAGAAGGACAGTCTCTGCAGCTCAGCATGTTGCAAAAAAGCATCGCCGAATGGAGGTTCTGGTTCCGGAGCTTTACGTTCATGTAAGAGGCTGCTTCGCGACATGCAGCTCAAGCCACGCTGCGTGGCCAGGAGCCTCTCGTGGTCCTGCGTGAGCAGCTGCCTCTGGGACATTCCAGAGTCCCCGCAGATGACGAGCCAGCACGCGGCGCAGGGTTTAGCTCTTCTGAGGCGGCCGCTGGACGTCAAGCAATTGCCAACGTCGTTACTAAACGCACTTCACATATGAGTAGCTTGACTGCATAACTTGGGTTGGGGGCTTAATAGCCAGGAGGTTTTGAGCACATGGCCTGGGGCAGGGTTTGAGGCGTGTCCTCGAGACACATCAGCACAGAACATGGCTCTCTCGCCTAGCCCACCGGCAGCACGAGCTCAGCGTGTCACCGGCCAACAGCAAACGTGAGGCCACAGCCCCGCAGCCGTATTACATGCCGGCTTGCCCTGAACATCACGTTGTTGCACAGTGTCCCGACGACGCCATCGCTAGTTGGAAGGGCCGGTCCTGATCCTGCACGCGGGCAGCAGAACCGCAAGCAGCGCTTCGAGAAGCAGCATCAGTTTGCAAGGAGACGTCCGTCTCTTGAGTCAGGCTTCTCAGAGCAGCTTGCAGGAAGGGGTGCGATTTCTGGCAGGTCCGTGAACCGCGCTCGGCGTCAAACTGCCAGAGCTGGTGCCCACTGCGGCAGGGGCGGGCCGCATTCCGCTGCCACAGTCACCTCATCTCACCGCGAAAGGTGAGGTCGTGGCCGGCATGTCAGGCGCCTGAGGCGCCGGGCTCGGCTATGAAGAGTCCACACACGGATCCCTCGAAACAAAAACATGGAGGCGCAACAAGTCGACGCGGGCTGCACTGGGAAGCAGGGGCTCCGCCCTCAGCTGCAGGCTGAGCCGCTGCAACATGGTCCGAGTGCAAATGTTCGGCCATGGAGGCTGACGGCCTCCTAGGCCGCAAAACTCAAAGTGCGCCGTGCAAGCAACTCCAGTTTTAGATTGCAGCGAAACACAAGAACTTTTCTTTCTTTTTCTCAGACACACATGACAGCTGCAGGGTTTGAGCCCAAGCCCTTACGGACTGGCGCCTGAAGCCAGCGCCTTCGACCACTCGGCCAAACTGTCCCTAGCCCTGCTAGCAATGGGACAACTCGTTTTCTCTGCACGCGGCACACTTGCTGCTAGGACAGGCCATCTCAGCAGGGACCCAGGGGTGTGCCCCGACGCGTTTTCATGCTCGAGAGGTCAGCCGCCGAAGTGCTGATGAGCGCTGCCGGCGAGGCGATCTTGCAGGGGTCGGCTGACCGAAGGACAGTTTCAGACTTCTAGCGAGACAGGACATGATGCTTCGGCTGCCCATTGCCCCTTCTAACTTTACCAGCGCTGATTTAAGGTGGCCGCAGCATGCCGCAGCACAGCACGACTTTTTTAGGGAAAGACAGGGGAAGTGACCCTCCAAAACTGCTCCAGAACAGAACACATCCTGGACGCCCCTAAACCCTAAACCCTAAACTCTAAACCCTAAACCCTAACCCCTAAACCCTTTTCGACTCACGGTGTCCAGACTTGACGTCAAAACCGCCGACATCTGAGAGTGCAACTTAGATCCGGCTGGTGGCCATGCGGCTGTGCTGAGGCACGGGAAGCGCCCCGCTTTGTCTATGCAATGTTCTTACAAGATGCTGCATGGCACATAGGCATCACATCTTCGGACAGAAAGTTCACGATGCTAGTGTGCTCGAGATGGCATTGCACACCAAACGCACAAAACTATGGATAAAAAGCGTCAGGAGCTGTAACTCGAATGAGGCAGCCACCACTCAATGAAGCACTCATGGCAACTCATGCAAGCTTACCTTGAGCGACCGAGAGGCAGTGCCAGGCGAAATGGCTTGCAACAACGAGGCTGGCAATGATGGAATACGCACTTCGCCGAATCGGAAGATGTGTAAGCTTCGTCATCCACGGCTGTACCATTGACCATTGTTTGAGGATCTTGGCACCAGCAGGAAGCCTCAACGGAAGCCCTTAGCCTGACATGTCTTGTGCATCACTGCCGAGAAGCATGATCCACACCGAGCCTAGGCCTAGGCGATGTCAACAAATCGACTAGGTCCACAATCATGAAACACGCCACGATTTTCCCGACACGCAATTCTAGGAATCTGAAGGGACTTATGCCCTTACGGTGAGAGCGGCGTGAAACGATGGACTAGACCCACGACACTGTTCTGCCTACGAAAACGGGCGTGCTGTTTTTTAGCAGCTCCAGCTCCAGTGCGCAGACGTTCTTTCCAGCAACAAAAAGATCCGCTCTCAAATGAAACCGATTTTAGGAATCACAACGAAAACCGAAGGAGAGACAGAAAGAAGGAAACAAGTAGAGATCAAGGAGCCATACCCTTTCATGAAAGATACTGGGCGACATTGTAAATTACAAAAAACACCAAATACATAAGGGCTGGCGTTACCAAGAGATCGCTTGTGTTGTGTCAGCACTAAGACTTGATATGGGTCAGTCTCAAGTCTGCGCCTTTTGGAAGTAACCGCGCCCAGCAGACTTTGCCTTCGCCTTGGACGCGAGACAAATAATAAAACTTCCAAAGAAAGCGGGATCTGGAATTTTTCTGACCTGGAAGGTGTGAGTTCGAGGCTCCATGGCCAGCGCGGCCAGCGTGAGCTAAAGCCAGAGCATTCCTTCCACAGGCACAATGGTCTAGAATCATGGAGTAATAAGATAATGGAATCATTGAATAATCGAAACATCGAAAAATCGAATAATGGAATAATAGAATGATAGAATGCTAGAAAAATAGAATGATGGAATACTTGAATATTCTAATCATCGAATGATCGAATTATAGATAAAAGTTGTAAGAAAAGAGTACAAGAATACTAGAGTACCAGAATGATAGAGTAATAGAATAATCAAATAGTAGAAAATAGAATAATAGAATGATAGAAAACTAGAATAATCGAATCATCGAATCATCGAATCATCGCAGAATAGGAAAATTAGAAGAATAGAAGAACAGAATACTAGAGTACTAGAATTCCGATAGAATGATAGAATAATCCAAGAATAGAATAATAACAAAAATAATAGAATAGTACTCGAATAATAGAAGGATAGAAGAATAGAACAGTAGAATGATATTAAAAATAGAATATAGAATAATAGAGCCACAAAAGAATAATGGAATCATATAAAATAGTTGCGTAATGGAGTCATAGAATATTGGAATAATATAGAATACTAAATTAAAGAATCATCGAACAACATAGTATTATATTCTGCTTCACACGCTTCACATGCTTCGCTTTGGGCACCAACAGTCCTTGGTCCTGCGCGACCGCGGGAAAAACTGCCTGCACATCGCGGATGAAGCAGGAAACTCCGGCCCCCTGGCCGCCCCCACCCCTCTAAGCCCTAAACCCTACAAACCCTAAACCCTCTAAACCCTAAACCCTACAAAACCCTAAACCCGACCACCCCTCGCCCTCCCCCCGCACCTCGCCTTGCGACTCCGCGGTGGGCCTCCCTGTGCCTTTGGGCCCGGCGGACGCCGGCGCGGCGAGCATGCGGGAGTCGCGCGCCTCGCGGAGCGCCGCCAGGGTCCGTCAGGCTTCGCTCAACCCTGAACCCTGTACCCTGAACCCTAAACCCTTAACCCTAAACCCTAAACCCTAAACCCTACACACGAAGCTAACGAAATGCACATCAATGCTAGCTGCTCAGTATCAAAAAGAGGCAAAGAGCAAAGGCTCAGCTTCACAAGCTTCGGCCTCGCGGAGGATGCGAGCAGCGGCCTCTCCGAGAAGTCGAAAAAAAACGAAGGCTACAGTTTTTAGGGTTTAGGGTTTAGGGTTTAGGGTTTAGGGTTTAGGGTTAAGGGTTTAGGGTTTAGGGTTTAGGGTTTAGGGTTTAGGGTTTAGGGTTTAGGGTTTAGGGATGTTCCCCCTTCTACTAACAGTCCGTAATCGGGATTATTGTGCCCCCTATTCTAAGCCCTATGAAGGAACATCCCAATGCCCACTCATTTAATCGCATTTCCCATCGCCTTGTCACCCATTTCCAGGGCGGTACTTCCGTTCTCATGCCTGGACATGGCAAGCCCTATTAGTCCACCACCGTCTTTCCTATTGGTCCGATGCTTCTCCGTCACGTTGTTGCCTGGGACTCCCACCGAATGCGAACGTCGGCTCCGGCCCGCATTAGCAGCTGCAACCTCGTCTGACCACCCCTCAGACCTCTTTTCTTTCCGGCATTTCATCCTTGAGGAGGCGAGGAGGGTCGAATATGGTCGGATACCACACTCCCCGGGGCGCTGGCGTCGCCGCCGCACTTGCCCCACAGCTCCTCAACCACAGGGCTGGTTCGTGGTCCATCTGTAGAACGTTTGAGGACTTGGGACCCCACGCAGCCCGCATCAGTGGTGTCCATCCGCACGGACCCGGGCACTTCCGGTCGACCTCTGAGATAATTCATATTGCGTTGAGGCAAGTCTAAATCATAACGATTCTTCGAAGGATGCAAGGCTGTCTCTAAGGCTCCGTCACGTGCACGGGCTGCCAAGAGCAAGCCGGCAATGACTGGCAGATCTCTCTGTGGATCTCTGGAGTCCAAGCCCACATCACACATCAGGCACGGCCCGACCTGCACCTTGTTTGCGTCGACCTGAAATCTCTGCGGCAGCAGCAAGCGGAGTCCACCTCTGAGCTCTGAGGTAGAGTATCCAAAAAAGACATCGTACGTGATGAGTCTCTTTGGGGTGGCACCTGCAGCAACCGACGTCGCCTTGGTGAATGGCAGGGCCTGTTGCCTGCAAAGGACAGCAAAAGCGACTGCTGCCACAGGCAAACATTCTGGCAACCATTTGGCAATTATCCGGTCCTCCACATCTGCGCCGCCAGCCAGGTCTAAAATCACACCAGCCTGCCAAGAGCTTTGCTGCTACTGACGCGCCATTTGGGGATGCTCCCCTTCGCATCCCTTTCGCCAACTTCATGACGACAGGCGTGAAGCTTCAGTGCACATGGTGGCCATCTACGGATACTTCTTCTCATGCTTTGTGGGGTGTTCGGCTCGCCTTGATTTCTAGAGATGCAATTCAGCAGCTAAACTTACTAGTGTACAGCCGAGCAAGATCTGTCTTTATGAGCACCGCCGGCGCGGCCACGTGGCCGTCGAAGATGTGGCTGAAGAACTCATCCTGTTAGCTACTTTGCTCACGCAAACAGAGCGGTCAGGTTCGTGTAGCAGTGTGAGTTTTGTACCGGATAACAGAAGCGATGCAAGCGCTTCTTGCAGAAGTAAGATAAGGAGCTGGCCTCGTCTGCATGCCTCTCCCGACCTTGCAGAAAGCCATCGAAGGTGCCTTTGGCCTGCGGCCAGTCTTGGGCCTTCTCGGCGCAGACGAAGAGCCGGCCGCAACGCCGCGGACCTCACCAGGTTTCTTCACTGAAGCACTCGCCCACTAACAGCTTCCCACACCCACAAGTGTTCTCAGAAACGCAGCACACTCGGAGGCTGACATACGCGATGTCTCACAGCTGGCAGAAAGCCTCGCAGGCTTTTGGGCGCCCGGGAGCGTCGAGGATGTTCGAGACATGCCGCAGCCATGGAGAATCTTATGCACTGCTTGGGGATTCACGAAACCGTTGCCGATAGGGAAACCATAGCCTCTCCAAGAAGTCAGCGAGAGCCTACCAGAAGGACAGTGCCTTTGACTCGCACAATTCGGCCATGAAACTTTCTCTTGCCTGTTTCCCGAATGCAGCCGCCCAAACGGAAGCTGCTGCAGCCTCAAATGAGATCGGCTTGTTGCGATCACCAGATTGTCGCCACAGGCACAGAGAACTCAAACAGACCATGTGACGATGCACACCTTGACTAGGGGAATCTTGCTGCGCTGCTGGGCAGCACAAGAGCAAGACATCTTGATGTGACAATTTGCTCGGAAAGAGCCTGCAACCTATGTGAAAGCCTCGCATCCACGGTCAACGTGAATCCCAGTCGAGTACTTCGGGGCCCAAGCGAGGTCGGCGGACTCAGGACGCGCTGCTTCTGAGACAAGGCGGTCCACCCCTGCAAGGGAAAGTCAAGCCAGGCCAGATGTTCATCTTCTGCCGCTTCCACACAAGCCTTCGACAGAATGGCCGGAACTCATCCAGCAGAAGTACCTCACACGGTTCTGAATGACATTCAAGGCCGGCTGGTGCAGCAATGTGCAGCAGTCGTGGAGACCTCAGCCAAGTCCCGTCAGCCGGCAGGAGCTGAGGAGCAGCTGTGGTTACAGCTTCTCTCATGGCCTTGCAGAGCCCTATTTGCACTGTCTCCAGTATCCAAGTTTGTGGAAAAGCGCCTCCACGTCAAGTAGACCAGATGAGGAGGGCTCCCTCCGCGGTCCAGTCCACACAAGTTTGGCCGCAGCCACTCTCAGGTTTTCGAAGCAGAGGCTGGGCAACAAGGCCGAAGAGGACATGGCCTCGGAAGTCCGGAAAATTTCAGGGTTTAGGGTTTAGGGTTTAGGGTTTAGGGTTTAGGGTTTAGGGTTTAGGGTTTAGGGTTTAGGGTTTAGGGTTTAGGGTTTAGGGTTTAGGGTTTAGGCCCGAGAAGCTTCCACGCCATCCCTGACGTTGAGTGCCCGGCAAGGCGCATGGCGCCGCTGGGCCCACAAAAGGCCACCACCCGTTGGCCCGCATCTGCCTCGAATTCTTCTCCCCCCCCCCCCCGACACACTGAACCCCAAACCCTAAACCCTAAACCCTAAACCCTAAACCCTAAACCCCCTAAAGCCTAGCTCCCCGCTCTCCTGCCTCGATGAAGCCGTACAGCGCACCGGCACCCATGGTGCTCTCAGCATGGCGCCCCTAGCAGCCCTAGCATGTCACAAGCCTGAAGTATCTAAAATGACAACTAAATGCTTAAGAACCCTAAAAAAAACACACAAAACATTCTTTCTTCTTAAGGGTAATATGGGGATTGTGAATTTTGTTCTGTTGGGGGATCTTAAGCAAATAGTAGATGATCTGCTGGCTGAGCCACCATCCCATCCGCTGCTGCTGTTGCAGTAGACTCTCAGCAGACTTTCTGGAGGTTCTAGAGTCTAGGTTCAGCAACACGAGGCAGCTCGAAGAGCTGCTGAAATTTCGGCACAGGTTAGACAACGGCATCTTGTACATTTGCCACGGCCGTGTGCATCTGTTGGAAAGCTGCGTAAGACTTTTCCAGGAATTAGGATACATGTCAAAGGTGGCACACGTGACCACAGCTACTGGCCATGACTGCGAGACTGAGGCACCTTGTCTCTCCCCCAGCGCACTTCTGGTCTCCAGGTCTCCAGATCTCGGTTCCAGTGGAGCAGACTCCATGACAGCCAACGTTACAATGTGCGACCGGGCTGAGTTGGCTCTGGACTGCTTTGCAGTGAGACTGGCAACAGTGCAAGACACGTAACAGCCGTACGATGCTACAGTCCGTATTGCAATTCCACATGATTCCACTGACAAAGCCGGTCCCGCTTAGGGCCTGTGCTGAGTCAGAGCCCTGGCAAGTCCTGCCACTGTCGGCCAAGCCTCACTTCACAATTTTCCGTGCTGGAGGCCTTGCCACAGCAGAACTCCAAACCATTCTGGAGAACGACCCTTGTGAATCAGCCTGCATACATGAAGACTGCGTTCCGCGATGAGAAAGCTCCTTATTTGCCGGCACTTGATCCAACGATCCGCCTCCATGTTGTGTTAACCCGAGTCTTCATGTAGATTGCGTGTCCATTCAACTGCTGGAATGGAAAGTGACGATGACGTGGGCTGCGGCAAGGTGTTAGCTTAAGGAGGGCCGCTACTACCGATAGTTTCACTTTCCCAGTGCGCCTTGCTCACAGTGGCACAGTTCAAACTCCTAGGATATGGCCAGTGAGACTTGCATTCCTGAATTGGCTGCTAGTATACAGGGCGAACTGGTGAGAGTCAAGCCTTTGGAGTTTGCAGTACAAACGCTATGCATCGCGCAACCCAGAGCGAGCACGTCAACGCTCAACATGTATTTGCATGATGTGAAGCCATCAACTTTGCGCACATAGCTACGCAGGCTGCTCTCCAAAAACGGTTGTAATCAAGGATGTGCTCACAAAGTAGATGCCATTCCTGCAGCCAGCAACTACAAACCGAAGAATCTGTGCGGAGCTCGTTTGAAGACGTGCACAAAATTCCCGAAGTCCCCTTCGGCCTGCTTCGGGCCCAGTACGCGAGCCATCGAGAGCCTGTCGCCGCAATTTGGGGGACTACCCGGACTGCACACCAGCACATGACTCAACCAAGAGACCAGTGCCTAGGCGAGGAGGGCTCATGACCTGAGTTGTGCAGATGTCCGCTTGCCCTGAACTCTTGAATATATCGGCATCATCTCCTCAAATCTGCAGCCTGCCTTGGCGGTCTAAACGGTCACAACTGTTGCTTTGCGCTGTGGAGGTTCTGCACGATCCGGGAGTGATGACTGATTTGAAGCAAAGCATGCGGAAGCATGACGGCATGAGCACCAGGAGATTGCTAAGGCGGGCGTCAGAGGATTTCTACGAGGCCTTGCCTGGAAATTTCCCATCGAGAACCACATGGGACCCTCGCGTAGAATGCACAAAAGAACTGCAACTTCCTCTAAATTCAAGAGGACATGCTCGAACCTCTATCTCCGCGCATCTTGCCGGACAGCCTGTATCTCACCTCTTTTCATCACAAACCTAGGGGAAGCAATAAAGGGGAAGGGTGTCGAGAGGGGTGAGGAGGGGATGTGAAAGAAGGCGACAGAACTCCCAAAACCGGGTCAAAGCATGGTAGGGACTAGGGCAGAGCTGGGGTCACGTCTGCGCCGTCTACACCCTTTGCGCGACATTGTGCGCTGCTGCTGCTGCTAGTATAGCGGGATCTGCGACTTGCCTGCGCGCCTCGCAACTATTTCGAAAGCCTGCTGTGTACAGGCCAAAAAAAACGGGGCTTGGCTTTGAGTCACTAGCGCGTGGGCCATGCATTGAGGTCATGACGGTTGTGGGCACATGTCACCGATGGATGAAATTGGATGCGTTGCAGGCTGAGCCTTCGTCATCTGCGATCGTGGGTTTGCCATGGCGGAGAAGAGGCGGACTTAGACTTAAAAGAGAAGAAGGGGAAGAGAACAAAGAAGAGAAATCATCGCTCGTCAAGCCTTCCGAGTGCCTTGTCAAGAGGTCCCGACTTTCGAACACGGGATTAAAGAAACTGAGAAAGCCACGACTTTCTAACTCGTGGATAGAGCGTCCCCAATTCATGTCACAGGAAATCTGCAATGTCTTCGTTGGATGCCGACTCCAAGAATCAGCGGCATCTCCCTTCACTCTGGACAAGCAAAAGATGAAGGCGCATGTAATGTGTGTGTGTACACACACACGCACACAACGTGCACATCAGTGCTTGCACAAGCAAATGCACCCAATTAGGGTGGCGACAAGGTCCGCGGTATGTGTATGTTCTGAAGGCTTTGGATGCATCCTAATTGCACTTCACTAGGGAGTGCCGTCAACAGTTGAACGAGCTGAAAGGACGAGCCCTAGACGTCCGACAAACAAAAATCCTTCAGACCATGATCTTACGGGAAGCTCAGGGTGTCCCACAGCTAAGTGAGACAGGAGAGGCACAAATGTGTATTCTGCCACAGCATCTGTGATTCCTCCAGTCTTGGGTCGCCACCCGAGCCAGCACTTGGACCGCAGCGGCTTGCAACCGTATCCAGGGGGAAGTCCCAACCTGCCAACATGACGTGTACGGATGCACGGACGGTCCGGACGTGCATTTGCACATTTCTGGAACAGGGGTAGAACAGCGACGATGCGTATTGGGCAGTGATGTGCATGATGTCTCTTAAAGCCATCTGAGAGACCATCTTCCCAAAACTGTCATGTTTAGGGCCTCACAGGTTCAAACTGTGAGTCCAAGCTCTTCCCGCGCCGTGGCCGATAGGATACCACAAAGCACACCTGAAAGAAACAACCAGGAAGTGCGCGTCGGATGTGGGAAGTCAATGTATGTCAAGCATGGTGGTGGCTTGCGATGGCTTGCGATGACAGCGAGCTGGAAGGCCCCGGACCATGCTTTCTGAGTCTTGCACGACTATGGAGCAGCTGAATACGGCGGATATCAAGGCCATCGCAGGCAGGACCAGGATGTTGGAGTCAGACAAGCGCCCTGCAAGACGCCCAGGTCAGCCGGCGCCCCGAGTTGATGAAACGACCCGGTGTCGAGACAGTTTGCAAGCTGGCACTGAAGCGCTGATCCGTGCCTAGGCTGGAGGTGTACGGCCTCCTTGGCTGAACAGAATGGCACATTGCGAAAAGTCTCAATAGAGCGGCCACCCTTAACATCCTTTAACACAACCTTTAACATGCAGTGGTGCTGCTTGAACTGCAAGGCGGGCTCCGTGAGCAGTAGGGAAAGAGACCTGGGCAACCTGAAGGGGCCAGATGATGCCATGAGCAGAAACCGGATACAGACACCAGAGCAACATGAGCCGCAAGAGTCAGAGGCTCTCCGTATCTCTCCGTGCGCGACCACAGCAAGGCTTCGGAAACTTTGGGTCGCCACAAGCTCAGCTCCCTTCCTGAAGTCGCTGGAGAAGCCTGCTTTTGCCATTGCTCTTGGGAATACACGTGGGTTTTTCCGGCATGTGCAGGCAGTCCCTTCAACATGTGCAAGTCTCAAGCGTGCTGACGTTTATGCACAGAAGCGGCCTGTGGCATATGTAATGCTGCACTGTCTCTAGTATGGGCCCCCCCCCCCCAAACAAATTTGGACCCTCTATAAACGCATGGAGCGGCGACCCCATGGGGGCGGAGGGGGGGGGAACCGCCCTCAGGGCCTCAAGCCTTTAGGATGTCAAGGAGCTTTCCAGCCTTTAAGATTCCTGGAGCCCGAGGCTTCAGGGCCTCAAGCCTTACTGCGTAAGCCCTTAACCCTAAACACAAACCCTTAAGAAAAATCATCCGAAAAACAACTTGGCATTACACCACCGAAGACCCCAAACAGTCAAAGGCGCGTCAAAGAAACAGTGCAGACGACGGGAGACAAAGGGAGACGAAGGGAGACAAAGGGAGACAAAGGGAGGCGAGGAGCACAGCAACCCGGCCACCCACATGAAGGGAGACCAAGGGAGACCAAGGGAGACAAAGGGAGACAAAGGGAGACAAAGGGAGACAAAGGGAGACAAAGGGAGACAAAGGGAGACAAAGGGAGACAAAGGGAGACAAAGGGAGACAAAGGGAGACGAGGAGCCCAGGAACCCGGCAACAGTCCTCAAAACGTCGGCAATCCTTAAATGAATTTAGAACCCCAACAGTAGACTGTTTAGGAAATTCTAGAGGGTAGCCAGACAAACTTACCAAAGACAGTCTGACCGGCCCATGGGCTACCTATCACAAAATTTGTTCGGGGCCTCGTTTCGTACTGAAATTCCATAAGGCTTTACATGGAACTGGCCGGGCTTGGATTTCTGGATTCTCCGCGCTCTGACTCTCTAAGATTCCTGGAGCCCAAGGCCCTCAGGGCCTCAAGCCTTACTGCGTAAGCCCTTAACCCAAAACACCAACCCTTAAAAAAAAAAACACGCCCGGAAAAAAACATGTGATAATAGCGGGTACCCTAAACAAACTCGGTTCGCAGAATAAATTTTGGAAACTTGTGATTATAGACCCTCCTTATACTAAAGTCAGTCCAACATTACCAAGTACACATTTAGGTGCAAACATACGTCGAGCAGCAAAGAGTACCGAGAGAATGCAGAATGATCCCTTGAGTCAATGTGTGCAAACATTCTGAAGAGATCAAGC